AACTTGCAACATATACTGAAAAAGATTAACCTGCAACCAATACAAAATAACACGAATAACGTGTTACAAGAAACAATTTTTATTTGTTTGTTTGTTTTGGAATTTCGCGCAAAGCTACACGAAGGCTATCTGCGCTAGCCGTCCCCAATTTAGCGGTGTAAGACTAGAGGGAAGGCAGCTAGTCATCACCACCCACCACCAACTCTTGGGCTACTCTTTTACCAACGAATAGTGGGATTGACCGTCACTTATAACGCCCCCACGGCTGAAAGGCGAGTATGTTTGGTGTGAATTTTCATAGTAATAGGATGGTATATTTCTGAAAGATTGTTTATCTGCTTTCCTTATCCTATGAGTTTTAAAGCTATTATACGTACATATTTTTGTATGTACGCATGCGTGTGTATGTGTGCGTGAGTAACAATTCAAAAGCGTTGTAATTCAATGAATTTCTTGTTCCGAACAGATGTTATAGTTTATAATATATTAATTTATTATTTTCACACTTACATAGCCCTCGTGTAGCTTTGCGCGGAATTCAAAACACTTACAAAGATCTATATTTGGTTCTATTTTGTTATTGATCAACTCTGGGGATACCAAACGTCGTGATTGTTACTTTTTAGTATAGGTGGCAGCAGGAACGAATGGTTTGGTTTGTTTTGAATTTCGCGCAAAGCTACACGAGGGGTATCTGCGCTAGCCGTCCCTAATTTTGCAGTGTAAGACTAGAAGGAAGGAAACTAGTTATCACCACCCACCGCCAACTCTTGGGCTACTCTTTTACCAACGAATAGTTGGATTGACCGTCACATTATAATACCCCCACGGCTGAAAGGGCGAGCATGTTTGGTGTGACGGGGATTCGAACCCGCGACCCACATATTGCGAGTAGAGCGCCCTAACCACCTGGCCATGCCGGGCCAGGAACGAATGTTCAGTTTATTTTGAAGCAAAACTACACAAGGGACTATCGGCACTCCGTCTACCGCGGGGAGTCGAACCCCGGATTCTAGAGTTTTAAGTCTTGACTTACCGCTGACCAATCGGGGGACACGAATGTTTAAAAATATTAATATGGTGCAAGAATTAGTATTACAATATATTAACTCAAACGTTATGAGTATTAATTGAAGTAGCGAGAAGAAAAATAGATACAGTTACGTGGTTTATGCAATTAATATCTTAATGGGAAATTTTCTGAAGAAAAGAAGTTTTAGTAACTGACTTAAATCCAATAAGTGATCAAGTACTGGAGCGTGTGTTTCTTTTAACAAAGCCACATTGGGCTGTCTACTGTGTTCACTGAGGGAAATCGAACCCTTTATTTTAGGGTGGTAAATCCGAAGACTTACTGTTGTCCCACCGTGGGACTAAGCATTGGACAAATAGAGGACAGCTATGTACAGATAGCCTTTACATAACTTTTACGCGACATTTTAAAACAGACAAGCAAACAATTATATTAGATTTAAGAAATAAAAGGAGATTTAAAAAATTAGCTTAATAATATTTAACTACTATAACTAAGAGTTCAAAGTTTGCTCTGACTTGGGAATGTCAAACGTTTTGTTAGTGGTACAGTGTTTGAATAATAAAACAAGAGTAATTATAAACTTTATTCTAACAATAACCAGGAGTACTGAAATCGTTAGCTTTGTTTATGTAAACAGGAATTGAAACTAAGGAGGCTGAGTACGTTATATGGGAACGGTATATAACAGTCTTTTTCAACAAGAATATTCATACACTTAGATCATAAAAATTTATTTTGATTAGGGATTTAGAATTTATACTTAAAAGAAACTACGCTGAAGAGCTATTGTCAAGATGCACTGTAGTCAGACGTGGCGACATGGATTGTGACGACGTGGTGAGTGTCCAAAATCGTTTTGATATAAAGTGCCCAGCCTCTTTATTTGGTTTTCCATTGTTGCTTTAGTGAATTTACGTTCAGAACGTTTTTTATGCCGGTTGTCGACCTAATGGATATAACAAAAGCTCAGTATATGATAACACTGTTTCATTGAGGACAAACTTCATTAACGGAGAAATTGATTCTTAAACTCCACTAGATTAAGAACAAGACAATAAAAAACAAAACAAAAAATAATTAATATCTCAAGAACGTAGATAATTACGTACACGAACTAAGACTACTTAAAAGTTGGCGATTGTGATAACCACATTTGTCTGTTATCCTGGTCAAGGAATATTATTGTCTACATGAATTTTATTTGTTCGTTTGTAGAATTTCTCGTAAAGCTACTCGAGGGCTGTCTGCTCTAGCCGTTCCTAATTTAGAGATATAGCAGCTAATGAACACCACCCACCGCCAACTCTTGGGCTACTCTTTTTACCAACGAAAAGCGGTATTGACCGTCTCATGTAATGTCCTCATGTCTGAAAGGACGAACATACGGTAACAGGACTCCATACGAAAGCTGTATGTATTTCGAATATTAGATGCTTTGTTAGGACGTATGACAACCATATGCAGTGCTGACGAGGCCTTTCACCCAATATCCAGGACTCATCAACTGGGATATGACAGACATAGTAGTGGTCGAGACGCTACTTATATCATAATATATTTGAATAACAACTATTTTGGTGTGAAAACCTAAGTAATTTTAGCTTTAAAAGGGAAGGGGGGATATTACCAAACAAAGATACCCGTAGATCTAATAAAGAATGGGAATTTTTTCATATGGTTTCATGACCTGGGGTTGGGGGGGGGGCACCTCTTACTAAAAATCCTAGAACTACTCTGATATAAAAAGAAGCTCATTACATGCCTTTAATTTTTATATATAATTTTTATCTTAAATTTTACAGAAAGTCACTTGTCATGTTTGAATCTCCTTAAAATTAGGCTGCCGAATCAGTAGTGAAATAGTAATAAAACTACATGAAGGTATATTTGTGCCCTGCCC